TATAGCATATGATGTAATCAGATATATTAATATTTAAGTCAATCATTACGACATAACAAAATTGTTGACACTTTTTGACACCGCTTTCATATTTTTGAAAACATTGACATTTTTTAATAAACCAATTTTTCCTCGCTATCTTTGAAATTGTTTTGACGTATGCAAGAATTACATAGGTATTTATCATAACTCTTACTAATTGAAAATATTCGAAAAATCGTTGGCGTTACGATTTTTAGAGAACATTACACTGACTCCACATAGTTGGGATTCTCGCAACGATTTATCTATATAAACAATGTTTTATATGCTTCACTATAATACAGTGGTGTGAACAATTATAGACTCAAGGTAATTTTTACATTTTTAGCGACATAAAATAAAAACTTAACAAAACGTCATATTTGTACATTTCTATATTAGAAATAATAGAAAATAGAAATATACAAATATAGTTTCTTTTTTGATTTTTATTTAAATATCAGTAAAAATGTAAAAGTTGTTTTGAGTCAATAATTACGCACACCATTGTATATACTTTTAATTTAATTTAATTTAATTTAATTTAATAAGACGTATATTTATTAGAATATCAAAATTTACTCAAATGTTAACGACGTGTAAAAGTTTCATAACTTTTATCGGGAAGTGTACGTACAGTTACATTGGACTATATCTAATAAACCAACAAGACGATTTCGATGACTTTTTAACATGTTCTTGGGAGTATTTTCTACCTTTATGTGAAAGAGAGTACATTCACCGGACAGTACTAAACAACAGTATGCGTTACCCTAACTTTGTCACAAATTAACTGTCGCAGCGAGAGTACTTTTTTTGTATTCGTCACGTTCGTCTTTCTCCCCAGCGTCATTTTCGAAACTTTATTTGACAACTATATGTCACCGGTGATCTTTATAAAGGCTGCACACGTTGTCCAGAATGTTTTGGTTCGCGCCAAGATTGCGCCAAGCGAATGGGCCCGTCATTAGAAAGATCGTTGCTTTAACGAAAACGGCTCGCAGCAGAATATTGGATTTTTAAGCGAGACCTCCCACGGACGCTGACTTCAATCACATTGATCCAATATACTTAAAGGGATTTCTAAGCTCTATCGCTCCGCGAGACCATGAAATATTCTGTGGCATTAAGTTCAGGTCTATTCGTCTATTCGCAGTCGAACAACTAATATTTCGATAAAAAAATCCAAGAAAGAACCAAGATGCACAATTTCACAAATCTTCGATCGCAATTAATCGAAACAATCAGTTTCGTACAAAATCAGTGTCACTTTGTATGCCATTTCAATGACGCTCAGTGAACGCTTCGTGTCGTCGTGTCTATTATTTGTTATCAATTAACAGCTGAATATAATGTTTGCACGGTGATGATTTAACGATGTTTGTGCATGGTGACGAGTGGTGTAGTGTATAATTTGAGGCGATGGCGGGTCGTGAAAGTGGTAATTGTAGTGACGGTATATGTAGGTGATAATTAGTACTCACCATGTATACGGCGCTAACGCGGTGAAATTTGAAATCGAGGGGTGATTGTTAGTGATTGTTGAGGCACTAAATGATTAACAGCCGAAAGGAGGCAACCGTCTGCGACCGGATGAAAGTGAACGAAGCGCTCTGGCGAACAATTCGTGTACTTCTCATTGGTAGGAGATAATGAAGTCATAGTGGTGCGAATTAAAAATTCTGTGATGGATGGAACCCTGATAGCTTCGTTATACTTTCGAATAAATTTATGACCCACCAGCTTGTTGGTACTTGTCGCATGGCTGCCGCGCAATCCTCTTTATTTATACATTTATCGCGTTATCGGGCTAAATGCTCCAGAAGATGATAGACTCGTTTGAACAACGATTGTTTTCTGGCCATGGTTTACCTATGGTTTCGAGCTTTTGCTTCAATTCAATGTTATTTATTAGTGGATCAGCTTTAGAAATTAATTAAAAACAGCCATATAATAGCTATAATATTATGGTTCTAAGGTTCTAAGGACTTGTTAAGACAGACATTTTTTAAATTTATTTACACGTATTTCAAAATTTTTTTTAGATTCAATTTATTTTTAATAAATTTTATTGTGACGCATAAAATGATATATGCAGCTTGATATTTAAAGCAATGTCTTTATAAATAAATAAACAACGTGTGCTCACTTACATTGTTACATGTACGTTTGGTTTCTGTAATCCTATTTACTTAATGTTGAATTAAAAAC